TTTTACGGTCATAATTCAAAAAATTTATATGTAACAATTTGTCATTGGTTATAAATCATAAATTTTATTAGTCACAAATTATTTTATGGTTACAAGAAAATTTTTATGTGTTACAAATTATTTTACGGTCACAATTCAGAAATTTTATAGGTTACAATTTATTCATAGGTCACAAATAAAAAAATTATTCTTTATAATTTATTTATCGATCACAAATTACAAATATTCTAAGTTACAACTTAGTAGACAGTCACAAATTGTTAAATTATCGGTTGCAAATTAAAAAAATTTTAGGTCACGCATTAATTTTTTGTCACAATTTATCTATTTCATTAGTCACATACTGTTTATTGGTAACAGATTAACCAATTTAATGGTCACAATCAACCAAATAATTTGTGACCATTGTGACCACCACCACACCACTCTTCCAGCAGCAGCACCACAGCCAAAACCCCACCACCACCGCCTTCCGACAACAACACAACCACTTCAAACTAATCAACACATCGTAGAAAAACACCACTACATTGTCACGTCATTCCACAACCATCGTGACAAACCCGTCGTCGCCGTCGTCGTCGTCGTCGCCGCCACCTCGTACCACCCCACAACCTCACCAACACCGCCCACATCACCTTTGCCAACACGACCATCACTTCCTCAAATTCATCACCACCATCGTGACCACTATCTACTCTATTGCGTTGACCACAACGTGCTGCACCCAACATCTACACCACCACCTCGCACCACCACCAAAACAATAGGACCTTACCACCACCACCTCCTATCCTACAACTTAAAAAAAATCCCCAATCCTATCATCATCTCCGCCGCCTTCACCGACCACCACACCACCGCCCAACCACCATCACGCCAACAACCAGAACTACTGCACCATCAAGGGAAAATTCATATGCTTCCAATGACATCTTTTTTCATTCTTTTGGTGTCTAACTTCTTCAATTTTTTGGTGGAAAAAACTCTGTACTTCAGTAGAACAAACTGCTCGGTAAATCATTCTTTTCTGGTGGCTTTTGAATGAGGTGAGAATATGGTCAACATATCGATACGATCGGCGTAAACCTGTTGATATCAAAAAAATATGTCAATAAAATCATCCATCTCCTCTCCAATTGGGCATCACCTGCAGGCAGTGGCGGACCTAGCACAAAAGGTCAGTCGGGGTGAACGTTGACCAGTGAGCGTCTACATTCAGCGATCGTAGATTCCAAAGAAAGTTGGAATGAAAATTTTTTAGGTTGCCAACTCTATCATCACCGTCCTCTTCCCCTAGCACATACACCTCCCACACCTGTGGCCTTCTCTTTGTCTCTCTCCTCGCTCTCTAGAGAGAAGAAGAGCAGAGCAAAGCGAGCAACAAGAAAAAATCTCTTAAACTCCACTCACCATTTGTACTTTTCTGTTCATTCTCTCTGTCGCCTCAGGTAGGGATATCATTACCTGGGATTTCAACTCTCAATCTGTTCCCGATACTCCATAATAGACCTTCTTTGCCTTAGCTTACTGAAAATCTCTATCACTTCCTCAGCAATGTTCTCAGCAAATGTCCTGCAAATTTCCTGTGAGAACATGTCCTAATCAGCATTAGAATGGCTGAAGATAAAGCCATGGAACCATATGTCTACCTTTCCCTTAAGATACATCTCAGTTATGCCTACCTTCATGTCATCCTAACCTGATGGATTGAAAATATTTTCTTGCCTTCCTCAACCATTCTCGAGGTCTCTTTCCCCCAAAATAAGGGAAATCTATCTTGGGTAATTTAGTACCCATTGATAAGTGTGTTTTTACACACTTATTTAGCATTTTTTGTATTTAATTTGAATTTAAATTGAGTTGATTTCTACACATAAATATGTAAATTTGTATGATTGTAGGCTTGATACCCGAATTCGCGAAGAACGGAGTGAAAAGATGAAGAAAGGGACACACCATTGTTCCTGATAAGTGTATTTTTACACACTTATTTAGCACTTTTTGTATTTAATTGAGATTTAAATTGAGTTAATTTCTGCGCATAATTGTGTAATTTTGTATGTTTGTAGGCTTGATACCCGAATTCGCGAAGAACGGAGTGAAAAGATGAAGAAATGGACTAAAAGTGTACAAATTGGTGAAGTTAGAAACCAAGTTGCACAAGCCACAAAGATGAAGGACTTGAAGTGCAATTTAGGAAGGACCAAATTGAAATGAAAGTGAAATTATGAGGACCTATTTGTACAAATTCAAAGATAAGGGACCAACTTGCACATAAGGTGGGACTGAACCGAAAATTCTGCAAAGTTGGGGTTTGCGATCGCACGGCTTATAACCATGCGATCGCACACATATATGCAGAGAATTGGCACCCTTTAATTTTTGGCCCATGCGATCGCATGGGTTTACTCTATGCGATTGCATAGGGTTAAAATTCAATGGCAGTTTAAGTTTTCTTAGATCGATTTCTTTATGTTTTCTTTTATTTTTTTTTACATTTTTAGCCACTTATAATAGTTTACTTCATGGTTAAGTATTAGAATTAGATTATCTTAGCTTATTTTATTAATAGATATTTTGTAGATATTTATTCCACTTGATTTCCCTACAAATACACCACAAAACCACTCACCCACATATCTCTTCCCCCCTTTCTCTCTTACACGGTTTTTCTCCCTTTTTCTTTGTCTTTTATTATTATTTTCTTTGTTTTATTTGGTTTTTGGTTCATAAATTAACAAGAAGTTGATACAAAGGGGAATCAACCAA